GGGGGTGCTGCTCACATGTCCCCCCCCTCCCCGCGGCGGGGCTGGCACCAGCCCGGTTCCCGTTCACCGGGAACAAAGCCACAGGGTGGCGCTTTGGGCACGCGGCACCGGGAGCTCAACCGGAGCTGTCGCTCCCACCACCACCCGAGGGACGGAGGGAGGGATGGAGGGAGCGGGGGGGTGCCCCCGGTGACACCCCACCTCCCCACGACACGCTGCCCACCTGGGCCGGCCGGCCGTGGCGTGGGGGCTGTGTGCCCGCGTGGTTCACCGTCCATGGCCCCAGGGACTGGCTGGCGTAGAAGTCCATGGGGTAGGGCTGCTGCCACTCCACGTCCCGGAGAGCCACCGCGGCCTGCGGAGGGGACACGGAGCTGAGGCCGGTGGCAGTTGGTGGCACCGGGAATCCCACCGGTGTCACAAGAGATGGGAAATCCCAATGGACACAGAGAGGGAGAGGAGGGGACGCTGCCCGACCGCAGGGATGTCCCCGTCCCGGCAGCTCACAGCCCCACAGCTCTGTGGGAAGCTCTGGGGTGTCACCCCACGCCAGGGCTGGTCGTCCCCCCCTCCCCAAAATGGGACTGGGGGTGCTCACCTCATAGGGTGTCAGCAGGGGCTTGCTGAAGGCTTCTCCCCAGTCGATGGAGAGCCGGGGACAAGCGACCTGCACCCACCTGGAAGGGGAACACAGGGCAACAAATGGGGATGAGCACTTTGGGAAAGACAAGCTGCAATGAAGCCCCCCCAGCAGCCCCCCCCTCCCCTGGGAAGGAAGCAGGAGCAGGCAGGGAGCAAGGTCTCCACGGTGCCAAAGCCACCCTGCCAAGGACAGCCACCTCCCCTCCCCATGGGCACAGACAACGGGACGGATGCGACAGTTTCCAGCGGGAACTGGAGATCTGGACGGGGATGGGGCACCCTGGGGTGTGGGGGGCAAGAGGTGGGGGGGTCCCCAACACTCACGCGTCCACCTCAGGGAAGAGGCGCAGCTTGCTGGGGAAGATCTCGGAGAGCAGCACCCGCACGAAGGGCCGGCCCAGGGCACGGAGACGGGACTCCAGGTGCTGCAGGGGAAAAGGCACCCGGGGGGGTCGGGGGAGCCCAGATAGATGCCCCCCACAAGCTCTGCCCATAGCCCCTTCCCGCCCACCAGACCCTCTGTGGGTCCCACCTCTGCCCCACCACCACATCCCCTCCCCAAGTGCAGCGATGGGGACTGTGGCCGCGGCTCAGGCTTGAGCCCAGCTCTCCGCAGCACGTGCCTCAGCCTAATGAAGTAATTACCGCTCAATGACAACAATCTGTTCTCGTTAGCGGCTGCCTTCCCTGGGACACCAAGGCCAGAGGCTGCAGGATGAGGAGAGGAGCCCAGGAGGGGCCAGGGATGTCCTTGTCCCCCAACTCCCTGGGGCCACAACGGGACAGTGGCTGCCGGGATCTCACCTCCCTGCTCTGCCCCAAATCTCACCTGCGGCACCCCCAAAATTTCTAGGTGTGAGTGGGGCTGCTTTACTGGGGGAACCCCACTTCCATCGTGGTCCTGCTCCCCTCGCCCGGCCAGGGTGCGAGGCAGCTGAGCAGGGATGGTGAATCCAATCGGAAGTTCATCCAATTAAAACAAACCCAGGGAATTAATTGCCGAGCTGCCCGTGCCGGGGGGGTCTCTGAGGCTGGCCAGCTCTCCCCAGCAAGGGGCAGGTTTAATGAGCCCTTGTCCGGCCTCCCTCATCCGCTGCTAATTGCCCTACCCACTCAGCCTGGGGGCACGCAGAGCCCAGCCAGTGGCAACCGATGGGCTACCAACGGTGCCCGGTCCACCCCTGCCCTGGCAGCGAGGCCACTGTGCCGATGGGGCCATCACTCCCCACTCCTTCTCCCCACCCAGGAGCAGTGCCTGGTGCCAAAGCGGGGGCCACGGGGAGAGTGCTGGTACCTGCAGGATGCTGGGGGAGCCCTGACGCCCCAACGTGCCCAAGATGAGCCCCCAGCAGCGGGCACCGGCGGCGGCGCGGATGGCGTCCTGCCGAGCGCGGTGCATGCGGTCGTGGCTGTAGTGCTCCTGGGAGAACACCTTGCTGTAGGGATCATACCTGCAAAACACGGCCAGGCTCACACACACCCCCCCCCATCATCCTGCCCCTCCCTCATTAGCACTAATTGCCTCTCACAGCAGCTCTCCCCCCCCAACACACCCCCCGTGGCCAACACAGGCCACAGAAGGCTCATCAGGGACAAAGATGGGGATAAGGAGGGTGTCCCACCGCAGCCCCCCAACACCCAGCACAGCCTGGGCCGTGCGCTCGGCTCCACGCTCAGCTCCCCTCTGTCCCGGCTCATCAATTATGAAGAAATCTTTGATTTGTTGCTTTGTTTGACGAGAGGAATTTTAATCAAATCCCGCTCGGGTTTCGGCAGCTTCCCCAGCGCTATAAACCTGACGCGCGCCTCCCGTTAGTAACAAACGACCTACTAAGAAATTCAGATTTCGCCAAATGGGCCCAGCCTTTCGCTCTTGATATTTCATCTGCTTTCAGCGGCCTCATCATCGCGCTTTATGGCCTCTGCCTGCAGCAGCCGGGCTTTTAATGGCTGCACCTCCACGAGCTTTCACAGGTACTTGTCAAAATGTTTATATTCAGCCGGAGTAAATGGCTGGCGTTCGTCTCCCCGCTGCACCTCTTCCCTCCTCACCTCTTCCCTCCTCCCCTCTCCCTCCCCCCCAAATTTTCCATACCTGTAGGCAGGGATCCCAGGGTTGGCGATCATGATGGACTCCAGGTGGAAGCGCCCATCACCCAAATACCTGCCAAGAGAGAAGGTGGCAAATGGCAATGCCCATCTACATGCCCACTGGTTTCCAGGATGCAGACAGTGTGAGCTTCCATCCCAGGGCCAGCGGGCAAAGCCGGGGCCCCCCCACCCCTGTGCAGCCCCCCGGGCACACCGAGGAGGGAGAGGTGGCCACGCTCGGGGCGAGGAGGGACGCCCACGCCAGCGTGGGGCAACCAGGAGCTGCTCCATCTCAATGTCTGGTTCTAGACGTTGCTGCTTCCATTTCTAATCGGATTTCAAGTCAGCAATTACATTTCAAAGCCTTTCATTCAGCTGCCCTAATGGAGTGAGGGCTTGGAAAATGAATTCAGACTTAAAACTTGACTAGATTTTGCCCTTAATTGGAGAATGACATTTTGGGAGATCAAAGCTAATTTGTCTGCAAAAGTTAGCCCCGGAGACGGGCAAAAGAAGAAAATAATAACGCGGGGAGGACGCAGGTACCCTAGCTGTGTGCACCTGCACGGGCAGCCGGTCAGTACCACCCCACAGCTCCTCCGGGCAGCAGGAAGGACTCACTCTTGCTGATGTGGTGCCAGCCCGGCCACCCCTGCCCGCTCCCGATGCCCTTGAGGAGAGATGGAAAGCAGCACCTCTTCCCTGCTCCCAGTGTGAAGTTGGAGCCCCCACTGCCCCCCTGTCCCGGCAGCTGTGAGCCCAGCTCCCTGCACAGCCATGCTCGGAAAGGTACCGGTGCTGTTGGCTCCTGCAGGGCAGGCAAAGAAAGGGCTTAGTGGGGTCCCAACCTGCACCCGGGCTCCCCGGCTCCCCCCAAGGGTGGGGTCCTTGTATTTATTTATTCTGCAGCGCACTGTATTCACAGTACATTAAGCATTTCCATTACCTAAAATAATTAGGTGATAGGAAGCGAAGTGCTCCCTCTAATTTGCTGTCCTTAAATAAAATTAATGTTGCTGTGATGTTGGGCCCCGGCCATTTGTCTTTTCCAATTATCCACCCGCCCTTCCATCTATTATCTATTCTGATATACGACTCAATTATTTCCTCTGCGCTACGAGCACACGCCACTCCGAGCAGCGCGGGGAGCTGGAGATGGCCCATCCCAGCCCGTGGATGTCCCCATGCCACCCCCCCAGCACCATCCCACAGCTGGGCAGGGGGTACAGGTAGGGTGGGCAGCCTGGGGCATGCAGGAGGGTCCTGGAGGACCTCGGATACTTACACGATGGCATCTGTGTCCTGGGAGAGCTTGGGTGACGTGCAGCCCAGGATCTCCCCTGGGGACAGCGGCTTGCACTGGGGGACACACACCTTGTACTGGGAGCGCAGCTCCTGGGATGCTGCCTGCAGGAGACGTGGGGTTAGTTGGCCACCAGGGATAGACTGTGGCACAGAACGTGGCCGAGGCTGGTGATCCCCAGCACTGCTGGGGACTCTGGGGTCCCAGCTCCATGGGGTACAAGTGGCAATGGCTGTGCTGGTGTGTCACAGGACGGTGACAGCGGAGGGGAGCCGGGAGGGTAACGGCCTGCGTAGCGGAGATGCTCAACGAGGCTCAGCCAACGTATCAATTAAAAGACAAAGGAAAACGCTTAACGCTCCGATAGCCCCGTGTTTAGATAGACATGGCTCAAGAGGCTCATTCATCTCCTCCCGTCCTGCCCAGCCGGCCGTTCAGGGGCAGACAGACAGACCCGCCGGAGCTTCCCCTGCCGCTGCCGGCACTGCATCAAAATGCCAAGTGCTCCACCGCCTGCCCTGACATTTACAGAGCAGCTCCCGGGGGAGCCAGGGAGGGGTGCCGCCATGAAACATTGATCAGAGTTATTATAAAGTACTTGATCAACATTACGGCAGCAGCATATTATCGCAGCAACTCATCAGAGGGGAACCGTCACCACCAGCGCCCCGGGGCAGAGGCTCCAGCCCTGGAACAGGATCAGGGAGGGATGGAGCCAGGGCCAAGGCTGGGGGAGGCACAAGCCCCCATCCCACACCCCACTGCCAGGGGTTCCACCATCTCACCTGCACTGTGGAGACGAACTGGATGGTGCTGACGAGGGCCAGGGAGGTGCCCGCTGCGAAGTTGAAGCGAATGGTCTCGAGGAAATGGGACGTGTCGATCTTGATGTCCACGAACACGTAGAGCATCTTCAGCCCCTGTGTGGCATCGATGGGAACTGGTGAGAGGAAGAGAGAGGGTGTGAGTGCAGGGTGCACCCCGGGCCCTGGTGAGGTCCCAGGGGGGGATAAAGCATGTTGGTAGAGCTCCCTGTGCTCCAACCACCCTGGTGTGGGCAGGCCAGGGAGGGCTGTGCCACCCCTCTGTCCACACTGGCACCCCAGGCAGGGGGTGCAGCTGGGAGCCGCGGAGAGCACCCGCTCATTTCTCTCCAGATAATGGCAGCCTGGGGAATCAATGAACACAAATCTAATTACCCCCGGTGCTAAGAAGCCTGTGTCACTACGATTAAGTGAATAATTAAAGTACACAGAGTCCACATCGATCCACAGCTCCACGTTCACTTCCCATTTTGGTGCTCTTCACCTGATCACAATTAAGTGCAAATTACTCCCTCCCGTGGGGCACGTGGGGCCAGGAGGGAGAGGGCAAAGCGCCTGTGTGCGGCACCAGGATGTGCCCTCTCATCGGCCACAGGGCTCCCTGTGAGGGTGGCTGCACTGAGCTGGTGCCAGGAGCACCATGGGCAGCCCAAAAGGAGCCCAGCACCCTCTCAGCACCCTGATGTGCCCCACAACCCATCCAACCTGGTGCAGGCAGGGACCACGTGGCCATGGGCCACGGATGGTGGCAGGGCTGGTGACAAGCAGCCTGGAAAGTGTCTGCCTGTCCCTATGGGGAGCAGCTCCAGTAGATGTGACTCCCATCCCCTGGAGCATCCCACCAGTGTGCTCCCAAGCACCAGTGGATACATCCCCTCGCTCCCCTTCCCGCTGTTCATTCATGTAATAGCAGGCTACAAACCAGGGGTTTTATACTCCCTGTTCCAGTGGTGCCCATAACCCTCCTTCCGTAACAAAGCACCTAGCAGGGATATTTATCACCGCAGACGCTCATGCCGATGTGGCTTTCGGGACAGAGTTCTCAACTGGAGAGTCAGTATTTCATACGGAGCCTGACGCAATTCTTCAAACCCATTTATAGGGCCCCATAAAGATCCAGGAGGGCCGCCGGGTGCCGGGAGCGCGGAGGCGGCAAGGGATGCACGTGCCTGCCGCTCGCTACGGCAATTCTGCCGATCCACCTTAAAACCCAGAGCGTCTTATTGTTATTTTTGGGCTGATTCCATCCTGGGTGGACTTCAAAGTTAGCAGCATCTGGGACAGCAGCGCAGTTTCCATGGCAACTGGATCCAGAGTACCATCCGCCTGGGGAGCACACAGCCTCCTCCTCCCTTCCCCGCCCAGCCTGCGCTGAACCCGAAAAGCTGCCTTCCCTGGCCCTACTTGCCGGCCCCGGGGCAAGTGGGACCCCCAGGTCATCGCTCCCCACCCCCATTGCTCCCAAATTCCCCCCAAGACCCCCATTGCTCCCAAATTCCCCCCAAAACCCACTGCTGGGTGATGAGGGGTGAGAGGAGCCCCGTCCCCATCAGTGGCTCCTGGGCGAGTGGGGTCCTGCCAAGCCACGGTCCCATTGCTCAGCTCTTGGGCACACAGGGGGTATGATTTTGGGTGCTGCAGTGGTGCGTGGCTGAGCGGGACGAGCACGCCCCGCTGCCCCCAAAATCCTGTCCCTGGGCAGCCGCTCAGCCAGCCTGGCCCCATCCAAAGCCTGAATCTGAGGCTGTAGAACAGAAATCCCTTTGGGAAGGGATTAGCCCTTGGCACTAAGTCTTCGAGCTGGCATCGAGCGGGGCGGGAGGCGCTGGGCACGGCAGGGTGGCAGCAGCACAGGCTCTGCAGTGCCACGCACGGCCGCCTCGGCAGCGCCCCGGGGCCGAGTGTCACCTACTCAGGCAGCTGTGTCCGTAGTGCACCAAGAAGTCAGCGCCCAGGGCCCGGGCCGTGTAGTCATCCACGCAGCACGCCCCGTAGGTCACGTCGCCCATCACCACCACCTCCGCGTCCGTGAACCTGCGGGGAGGCACAACGGTGAGGGTCCTGGCTGGCCGCTGTCCCCGCAGCCCACGTCCTTACCCCCCCAAAGCTCTGTGGCACGCCACTACCCGGGGGACCCCGCGCTGCCATTTAGCCCTTCGCCACGCGCCAAAGAGGACGAGCACTGGCTACTCTCCGAGATGTCAACATGATTAAGCTGGAGAGCGGTAATCCGCCTCTTCAATTGGGTAAAGCTGTTTGCAATTCAGCGGATTATCTGCTCATCAAACAATACGCTGCCAGCTTCCTAATGCTCCAGCGGGGAGAGCAGCAGAGGGAGACCCGGCGCAGCGTGATGCCGCTGCTCCTGCCAGCCACTTCCAGGGACCAGAGCCACCAGGACGGGCCTGGCATCCCAAGCCGTGCCAGCCAGACTGGATGAGCCACCGTACCCCCCGTGCCCGGGCACCGTGTGAGCCCGTGCACCCCAGCCCACACCCGGCTGTGTCATCCACGGGTGCCAGTTTGACCAAGCTGGGTGTGTTCCAGGAGCAGTTGGTGCTTAGGTGGCACTTGGCGAGGGAAAAGCTGATGCTGTCCCATATCCCCTGCTCCGTCATCCCAGCGCTCCTGCCCAAGCCCACCTAGCACCCACCAGCCAGCAGAGCGGCACACGCCGGCAAAGCCGGGGCTCTGGCATGATTTAAAGGTGCCACCTTTGTGGGTATTTTATTGCACCATTTCGGGGGATTATTAGCTTGGCCGCCTTCCCGGTGAGCTGCCGTAGTAGTTTACGGATGAAAGCAGGTATCGCGATGACAAAGCCCTGCGCCTGGAGGGGCTGCTTAAACCAGATGCTAATTCCTTATTTATGCCGAGGTCAAGCCGGCGGCGGGGAGCTCGGTGCCAGTGGGGTCCCCCCTGCCGCTGGCACAGGGGTGGGGGCCCTGGCACAGTGTCACCCCCCCGCCGGGGGCTGGCAGGGGGCCAGGGTCCCGCACACTCCCCCCTGAGCGCCAGGCAGGGAGCGTTACGTCGGCGGCAAGAATAGAAATGGTGGGCAGAGCTGGGCAGATGGCAGAAGGTGGAGAAATGGTGGAGCGTGCTGAATATTAACAGCCCCGGCCCATCAGTCAGCGCCCGGGGAGGGGGACAGGGGAGCAGCTCAGCTAGAGCTTCCCCAGAGAGGGGGCAAAGTCATTCCCACCTCCCATATCCAGCCTGGGCATCTCCTCGCAGAGCTGAGGACACGGTTGGGGACTGTCAGAAGATGGACCAGATCCCTGCTAACACCCAAATCCTGTGGTCCCTTGCCACCAGCGTGGTCTGGATGGGAGGACGGCTCCTCCACTGCCTGCACGGCTGCCCCATGGGGCTGGGGGCTGCCAGTGAAGGTTCGAGAAGGCTCTTCCCCGCCCCCCCAGGCCTCCAGCCCCCTCCTCTAATGAGAGGTGATGAGATGAACATGAATCAGACTCCACACATCTCAGCAAAAGTGGAAAATTATTCAGCTCCTTAAGATTCAGGACGGGGAGGTCTGACTCAGAGCGGCAGCCAGCGCCGCTTAATTTTTTATAGATTAAAATGTATGCAAATTGGCCCAAACCCCAGAGAAAGTCCCTGGGGGTGAAGAGCAAGAAAGTGAAATAGCAACAGCGGAGGGAGGGGGGCAGAGGCTGGCAGAGGTGCCCGTGGCCCTTGCCCGGTGTGCAGGGCTGTAGCTGGCAGTACGTGGCTACCGGCCGGTGGGCAGAGAGAGTGTGGGCTGAGCCCTGGCCACGGGGAACCGTCCTGCTCCGGCTGCAGGGAGCAGAGAGGCCACGGAACGATGCCTGGTGAGGAGAGAGCCCAGTGGTGCTGCCATTGTGGCTGGCGAGGCTGGAAGGGTGCTGGCAGCCCGGCAGCGCCGGCAAGAGAGGCACACAGGCACCAGGACGGCACGCACCGGGGTCACCCGCGCCGGCTGGGCTGGACGGTGGAGCAGAGCAGCAATCATCTCCCGAGACAAATCAAAGGCAAGCGCCGGGGCCTCCCCTTGATGTTTTAATCAGTTCGGTGTCGCCGGAGCCTTTCATCAAACTACAGAGGAAGGAAACGTCAATTAGCAGCCACCTGCCTCTGATACGGGCCGGGGAGCTGCTCACCAACCAAACCGGACCGGGATGCAGGAGAGGGACAGCCAAGGGAATGTCCTTTGAGGGTGTTTTGTGTCCCAGGAACTCATCAGAGCGGCGGACGGGGTCCCAGCGGCGCGCTGGTATCGCGCTGGCAGGGAGGATGCGGTGACGGGGCTGTCCCCACCCAGCGCTGAGGCGCTCACTACAGCTGGGAGCTCATGAATATTGAACACGTGGGGAGGGTTATTCATCTTTTATGTCCCGTAAACCCCAGCTCATTCTGAAAAACCGCCCGGCCTTAGCATTTTTCTCATCTCCCCCTAATTCATTATCTCCTCTTTTAAACAGATGGCTCCCGAAATCCCATTTGTAAAGCACCATGCTCAGCACTGGCAGGATGCACGCCAGGGCAGGCCAGGTCCCAGCCCCGATCCCAACTGCCAGGACGGGATCCCTGCACCCTCCCAGCCCCTCTCTTCCCTGCCCAGTGTGTGACAGAGGTGACAGCAACCCAGGGACATGTTTGGAGGCTGAAAACACCGGGACAGACAGGCACAGGCGGGGCCAGCATGTCCCCAAGCACGGGGCGGTCGCTTCCTGCCACCCGAGTGCAGGCGCCAGGCTGGAGTGGTCCTGATTTATCCCATCCCCTCGACAAATAAATGAGAGCACTTGCTGCTGGCAGGAGCGTGGGGTCCCCTGACACCGTGGCAGCGTGTGAATGATACTGTGCTGGTCCTCACTCCATGCAGCAGAGCCGCTTTCCCTGGCAGAAAGGATTCCTCAGCCCCAGCGCGTCCCCCGTGCCCAGATCCAGCAGCCCTTGGTGGGGAGGGGACTGGGCTGAGAGTGGTGGGTCCTGTCACCACAGGGCTGCTGGAGGATGGAGCCAGCACCGAGAAGCTGGAGCACCCGTGTGTCCCGCTGGGGATGGGGACATGGAGCAAGCTGCTCCTTGCTTCACAGTCACCTGCCTCGCCTGCGCATGGCCCTTCACAGCACGGTCACACTCTGGCACGGTGTCACCTCCCTTCTGGGAAAAGCCTGGGGACAAGCAAGAGGGTTATGTCCTCCAAATACCCCACACCCTGTCCCCTGGGGGAAAGGCAGAGCCCCACCACCACCCCACAAACCCTACACTCACTGCCTGCCCTGTGGCACCCGAGCCCAGCCCGTGCCAGGGAGAGGTGCCAGCGGGTGCCGCTGTCCCAGGGCGGGCGTAGGGGCTGAGAGCAGCCCCGGCTGAGAACAATGTGCTTAATTAGCAGAGCAGCCCATCACCAAGCCCCATTACAAGACTCCAACTTCATTAGCACAGGAAGGCTGCACGTAATTAAAATAATGAGTTTGCAATTTTACTGCAAACGGGCACTTGGAAGAGCCCCACTGCAGCTGGGCAATCACTGCGGCACGGGGTCCCGCAGAGCGTCTGCAAGTGGGTCAGGATGAGGAGAGGTGTGCCCCCCCACAGCCCCCCCAAAAGCAGCCATCTCTGGACAGGTCCCCTCCCCTGAGGGGACCTCCCCCTCTGTCCTCAAAGGGGGTGCCAGGGCCAACGCCATCCTCCCAGGGGGCACATCCCAGACACACCTCAGCTTTGCTGGCCTTGCAGCTGCAAAAAAAAACCCCAAAGGCAACGCAAGGGCCCAGAGATGGTGGTGGCAAAGCCACCATGGACATCCTGTGCCCAGATGACGCCTGTCCCCTCTTCCCTGCAGCCCAGCCACAGTGCTGCCCATCGCTGCCAGCTCCCTGGGCTCCACAAGGACACGAGGAGGTGGCACAGGGCACACGGTGATGGGCACTGCACCTGCACTGGCACGTCCCAGCCCTGGGATGTGACGGCCCTAGAGACCCCGCACACTCCCTCCTGCCCAGTTCCCCCCACACCATCACCGCCCGGGCTGAGGTTTTAAACATCTCCAATGAAGTGAGAACTTCATTCTCCCTAATGATGCTGTTGTGTGGTTAATGATGGTGATTAAATTCCCCTGCACAGCATGCCACACCGCGCTGCCAGCGCCTCGGGGTTGCGCTTAGAGGACAAGGGGAGAAGGGACGGCAGCGCTGGCGGGCAGAGCTATGGCACCGTGCAGCTGAGGCCAGATCCTGACCCGTGTTAGTGTCCCAGGATGGCCCTTTGGCACCTCCAGGTGATGCTGCCAGCTTCGCCATGGCACTCAGTGGCACACCACAGACTTTCCTGGCCAGAGGACCTGGTGCTCTCATCCTGCCTACCCACCAGGCCTGGAGGGGACAGCCTTCATGGCACTGGGGACCTGCAGGGCACACCAGGCTTCAGGAGCTTTCTTGTCCTTGCTATCACAGCCATAGCAGTGGCCACAGTGGGGCATTTCAAGCCACGCCAGAGCTGCCAGGCTGCCTGCACGATGTTTAACTCTTTACTGCTCAACCAGAGATGATTCAAGACCCCCTGTCCCTCTGAAATGTCCTCGTATGCTGCCGGGCACGGTCACCGGGGTGCTCTGCACACCCCCAGCACTGCCTCGCAGGGATGCTCCAAAGCCATCGGGTTGTTGGGAGGTGCTAAGGCAGTGGCAGGGCTGCCTGCGTGGGTGTCAGGACACCCCTGGGCTCCCCACACCCCCCCCCATCACCCGTCCCCGCTGCCGAGCCACGGCTTATTAGCAGCAGCCACTCGCCCCGTCGCGGCGCGGGGAGACGGAGGGATTAGCAGCTGCGAAGGCTGACAGCCGACTTTATTAACAAGGAATCAAAAGCCCAGCTGAGAGCCCAGCTGATCCGTCTGCTCCAGCCCCCGGCGGGGGGAGAGGAGGGGTCCGCTCCCGGCTGAACCCCCTCCCCTCCGAGCCGTTGGCGCAGGGGGCTACCGCCGTCACCTCCCCGGCATGACAGCGGGTGGGTTGGGGGGGGCCTGCCCCCCTCCCCGAACCCCGG